ATTATGCAAATCTAATGATGGCTCAAAAATAAACTAAATGAAAAATATTAAACTCTAAATGGATTGATCAAAGAAGGGCAATGAATTGAATAATTAGAAATGGATATATTCTTGGACCTAGTAATTAGGGGAATTAAAACAACAATTGGACTAATAATTTATTTTCTCATAGACAAGAATAGAAATTACTTTCATTAATTTATCCTATTTCTAGGTTTCATTTATGCATTCAAAAATGGTTGGCTTGAATTAAATTCTAATCTCATAGACAAGACATAAATAATTCTCCAATATTTTAATTAATAAAAATAGCCAAATTCATTAACTAATTAAACTCATTATTTAAGCAATTTGAATTTATTTCTCATAGACAAGATGTAAATCCCTTTCATTAAAATATCCTATTTCTAGGCCTTATTAATGTGCTTGAATAAAGTTGTCTCAAATTATTTTCTAATCTCATAGACAAGTTAGAAATAATTTTCCAAAATTTAATTAATGAAAATGGCTAACAATTATTAATTACTAATTCATCAATTTGAATAACTAGCCCAATTAATTAATTTTAACCTCTAATTTTCGGCTAACAAGTCAATCCATATTCTTTTACTCAATTCATGCCCAAAACAATTTTAGCTACTAAACATTATTTTTGCATTTAACAATATGGTAAATAAATTAACCATTAACAAGGAATTAAACATGTATAATAGCAAAACATTAATCAAAAATAAGATCTTGTCAAAATAAACTTTCTGGAACTACAATATGACTTTTTGGAATTTTTCACGAATTTTTAAACCTAAAATCCAATTTTAACCCTAATTGATAATTTTCCCACTTTTAACTATAAAATACAAAAGGCAATTAAAAATAGGTTAAATTCGTTCTAAATTTTCTATTGACTACTGGAAGTGATATTACAGTGAAATAAACTGGAATTAGGGTCGAAACTATTTTTTTACTCTTTTTAAGTAATTAATTTAATTTATGCAATAATAACAACTAATTACTGAAATTAATTAAAAATTACTTCTGCTTCTGAAAAATTAACTTTCTTCAGATAAATAACAACCTTGAGACTATTAAACAACTATACAATTAATTGGAATGAATTCAACATCAACAACTATTTTATTTAATTTTTGGAAGAAAATGCGAAATACTTGATAAATATTCTGGAAAAATTCGAAGAACAGATCGAGAAAACAAAGCACAGATTCAGATTCTACTCGTTGAGAAGATGAAAATACATATAAAGAACTTACAAATTGGAGCTAAAATGAAAAAGATATGAAAGATTGAAGTTGAAGGTGCAACAATGGTGGAAATCCGAGCTTTGAAGAGAAAGAAGAAGACCTTTTTGAACTAGTTCGGGCTAAGAATGGTGTATTTGAGTTCAGAAAAAATCGGGCTATTTATAGCACCAAAAATTTCGCAGGCCTCCAAACAGGCGGCCGCCTGCCGCCTTGCTCCGGCCGCCTGCCGTCACATCACCGACCGGTTGTTCGTTTCGTCGTCTTGTGCCGCAGGCGGTCATCGAAGGCGGCCGCCTTCCGTCCAGTGTCGGCCGCCTTCCGTTTTTCTCCGGTTCGGTCAAATTTCAAAAAAAATTGATTTTTCAAAAAAAACGGCAGGCGGCCGCGCAGGCCTCCATTTTTTGGCCGCCTGCCAGGCCGCCTATGAGTTTATTTGACCATCTTGTTCTGTATTTTGTGCTCTTCAACTTTCCCTTCTGGACCACTTTGAAATTCTGCTTGCTTCTTTCGGTATGATATCATTTTTCACTCAAATTGACGCATTTTGTGCTTAATTGACCCGAAATTTCGTCAAACATATCATGGACGTGATTTTTACCTGATTTCATGAAACTTGAACCAAAATATATAAAACATGCCTTGTTTTTCTATTTTCCAATCCAAAATCACTTAAAATTGATAAGAAAAATAAGTACAAAAATGGACTTATCAATCTCCTCACACTTAAGCGTTGCTTGTCCCCAAGCGACGAATCAGTTGCAAACACACTCAGAAAGGTAAAAACTTATTGTATTACAATCGAGTTGCTATTACAGAAATAGAAACAAAAACCCCTTATTTTATTTTCAATTTTTAAACAGTTTAGAAAAATCACCCAAAATACAAGAATTTATAATTATTATTACTGAATAAAAAAAACTACTGATTATGTTAAACCACCAATCAATTCTTTATCCCAAGGTTTTCATTATTCTAAATTGGACATTTATCTTATTCACAAATTATGTTTTTTTTTGCCTCTTGTCCACTCTTGTTGGCGGTGTTATCCCATGGTAGATGCATATTTCATTCTCACAGACTATGATTAACGAATGAAACAGAGCCCCTTTTCGGAGATGGAATTGTCCTTTAACAATGAGTTTTGAAGAGATTTATTAATACTAGTATTTTTTTATGAATAAAATGAATGTCCTATTAAAACAAAATTAGCCCTTTACATTATATTCACAACCAAAACCCATAACAATTTCAAGTTTTCTAAAAATAATAATAAAAGTAAATTCTTATAATAAGGATGATCCTCTAAGCTATTATGTGATTGATAAAAAAAATTGAGAATTTAATGTTTCATATCAAAAATAGTAAAAAGATTGTTCTAAAACAAGGTTTTAACTTTTAAGTCTAAAACGCAACCTCCTCACACTTGAGCTGGACCTCGCCCTCGAGGTCTCTTTTTATTGCACAAAGTTTTGAAATCAAGGCACTCTCTTTTTTTTTTTGGTTCTTTCCTCACACTTGAGTTTTGAAAAGATTTTGTGAAGAGGAATGATGAAATCGGGAATAAAATTGTTTTAAAAAAATATCCTTACATCATCCATCGTCAGTTTTTTTTCGAAATCGGGTCAAAGCGCTCAACTCACAATTTATTTATTGAAGCCCAACCTGCAGTCACACAAAACAAACAAACAAAGTTATGAAAAAAATGGGTTGCCTCCCAAGAAGCGCTTCTTTAACGTCACTAGCTTGACGTTTGAGAGAGAACTCTCTGTAATGCCAATCAGTCGTGGAGCACTCATCATAAGTGCATCCACCTTGTCCTCCGGGTATGCTGTCAGATGGCGTAGACCTTCGAACTCTCGTGACCACCGAAATGTGATATAATCTTCAAAGAACAAGTCGTTCGAACTAGGGATTAGCACATATCCCGTATCACCCTCATTAGTAGAATCAACAAGTATTTCAAGATCAGGTGTCTCTGGTTTCTCTAACCGCTCAAATGGAGTCATCAAGGTAAACGTAGCCTGACTAGAGATTTCATACTCCTCATCTATGCCCTCAACATGAAAATCAGAAAGTTTAGACTCTGTGTCACTTTCTAAGAATGCATCCCAACTTCCCAACTCATTAACCCCACATATATCATCTAGGCAAACAGATCCTTGCCTAGAACAACTATGTTCGTCATCATTGAGTAGAGAGTCAAAGAAGGCGTCATCGGAGAATGTTTCCTCAATATCACATGTTTCATCAACTACTTGATTAGGCACTTGGGCTCGTGTAGGATCACCAACTTCGTCAGGGTTATCTTTCAAGGACTCTTCGTCAAGGGCTCGTGAAGTTCGATACAATATTTAACAATTAGTAGTCATTATTTACGAATAATTAATCAAAAGATTTATGTAGATCTTTAGTTTTTATACAATGAGTATTTTTTTCGCATACCCTCATGTAGTTTTCAAATTCTCGTATAACTAGTATTTAATATTTTTAATTAAACTTAACAAGTATTCAATTTTTAGTATTTTGATTTTTTATATTTCCTTTGTTACTACTTACTAATATAAATTTATACTTCCGGGTAATTTTTTTTATTTTTTTTGTTATATATTTTTTTACATATTGGCCCGCGGGCCAACCCGTTTAACTCACGGGTTAGGTGGGCCGGGTTAGGGTTGTAGAAATTCTGGCCCGTCATTAAACGGGTTGGCCCGACCCAACCCACATAGACCATAACTCGTCATGGGTCGGGTCGGGTTAGCCGGGTTGGTCCGTTTGACAGCTCTACTCTGTATTATTATGGAGGTGCTGAATAAGGAAAAGATAACTGAGCTATGCGAATAACTATTCTTTAATATTGCTCCGTATTTATTCGTATCAGAGCAGTGTTCATCCCTATTATTATGCATGCATGTGCGGTGTATTATTATTGGCAAGACAAGTGCATATGGAGGATATTTACATGGGGTATACGTTCCACTAATCATCGGTCACAATTGTACGGAAACCCATGTGAGTGTGCAGCAGTACAGCTCGTATTATGTGTAGTATATTGATATCTTTACTTCCTATATTATTGTTATCGCATGGGACATAATTGTTACACGGAGTATGTAATATCATATGTATTATTATTAAACTTTAAAAGTCAACTCTTTTAACATTTTTATTTTTTTGTGGTATTTTTGTACACATTTTATTTACTCATATTAAAGCATCATTTTTATTATTTGTGTCATATGTATAGTTATCACTTGTCACAAAAGCGTCACTTTTGTTATTTAAGTCAATGTCATATCTGGTCAACATAATTATTATAAAAATGTCACATTTATTATTGAAATATTTTTATTTGATTAAAAATTTCATCGATGTTAAAAGTTTATCTGATTCACTTAATTATAAAAATGTCACTTTTATTATTGAAACATTTTTATCTGACTAAAAATGTCATCAATGTTAAAAGTTTATCTGATTCACTTAATTATAAACTTAAACACTTTCGTAACATTTTATCTGATTAATAAAATTATTTATTTTATTTAAATTTTTTGGAGTGTCACACATATCTTCTACCTCATCGCTATCACCGCTAGAGGATTATTCAACATCACAACTTATAAGTCGCACAACCGTTTGACGACTTACCCCTTATTATAAACAAGGTCTCATTTCTCCTATTTAGGGTTACGAACCACATACAACACATTACAATAATCCAATATTCATAACACAATAGTCATCTAATATTCATAATCGAACACATCAACATATCATAAAAGAGTTTACAGGTGGAAATATGTAAAATAAAGTCAATTCTTCAGACAACATATAGTGTACAAGAAAAACACCAATAGAAAATACAAACTACAAGTTCTCATGGTCTTCTTGATCGTTTTGGTCATCGAGATGTTGTTGTTGCTGCCTACGTTTACGCCGCTGGCGTGGTTGAAGAACCACTCTCTCCTGCTGAGTCTGGGTCGATGGCCAAACCACACATCCTCACTCTTGTGCGAGGCTTGCAATGTCAGGACAAAACGATCACTCGATCCAGGATCCGCTGACACCTCCATGCCTACAAAAAAGAAATACGATATTAGTTAATTTATGTAATATTTTAGTAATTACTTTTTTTCATGTACAGTTAGTATCAAATGTGGAATAATATAATTTAAATTTTACCCAGTGGACCCTCCTCCATCTCTTGATGATCTCTTTGCACATGTGGCCCTATTATGACCGGTTTATTTACATATTCCACATCTAACCGTTCCTCGGTGACCTTCATCCATCTCATTCTTAATACGTGTGGACTTAGGTCTTCCCTTAGACCGAATCATGGATGGATCATGCACAATTTCAGGTCCATAGTAAGTCAGCCAATAATCACGATCGGGATTGGGTTTAAAGATTCTTTGATATGTGGCGGCGTATTGTTGAGATGAGAAAAATGGATCCACAAATGGATGAGAAGACAAACTACGTTGTTTGCACACGGCTAATACATGAGAGTGTGGAATCTTATAAATTTCAATCTTTTTACATGTGCAAGTACGCAGCCGCAGATGGACAGTTTATTTTCTCCCACCCTTTCCCAACGCTCAGCCACCACATCCTGTTTCCACCTGATATATCCCTCGGCCTATATCATATGGAGTAACACTGTGATGCTTCGCCTTCTCTCTATTCTTCTCAATCAAATCCGTTATGTATGGAGAGTAGTCGTGGCCTTCAGTCACTCTTGCTTTACTGCTTTCACGCCTATTAACAAAATAAGCATTAACGCGGAAAAAAGAAACCTGGACCAAAGCGGTGATGGGCAAATATCTGGCATTTTTTATTACGCTGTTGAAAACCTCAGCCAGATTAGAAGTGATGGTACCATCTGTATCCGCCATCGTGGTGTAATGACCACATTTCCAAGGGAATGTTCCCCAAAAATTGTCGCGCCTCCACCCGCATTTCCCCTATCTTCTTGAACCCACCATCAAATTTCTTTTTCTGATGTTGCCGTGCGGTCCAAACAAACAAATATTTAGGTGAATGTCTTTGAAATGAGTGTGCACATTCGATGCAATATGACGGATACATAGCCTATGGTGCGCATAAGGCTCCTCCCAAGTACTGCCCACCTCATTCATAGCCTTGACTATACCCGCATGTCGATCAGAAATGACACACAACTCCCTATCAGTGACAAACTCCCTAATGCATGCCATAAACCATGGCCAACTCTCCCCATTCTCAGATTCAACAACAGCAAAGGCCACGAGAAATATTTGGTTGTTCGCATCACTACCCATAGCACGAGCAATGTATCATTGTACTTCCCATACAATTGCGTGCCATCAATAGTAAGTACGAGTCGACAATGCTTAAAACCATGTATTGAAGGCTTGAATGCCCAAAAAACTCTCTGAAACTACATATAACCTGTTGGAGTAATAGGGGGTGGGTACCAATGAACAACATTTCCATGATTGGAATGTTGGAGCGCTGTCATGAAACGGGGCAATTTAGAATATGACCTCTCCCAATCGCCAAATATTTCTGCAATGGCCTTCTGTTTGCCAATCCATGCTCTCATGTACGATACTGTATACCCATACTTTTTCTTCAGCATCTCAATGATAATATGCACTTTTAGGGAAGATCATTGCGAAGAATGTCAATCATATCTTTAGCAATGAAATCAGAAGTCATCGCCACGTGATCAGTACTGTCGGTGTTGCCAACACAGGTAGCAGAATGAGGTCCAGGATAACGCACAATTGTGAAGCTGTTGAGGTTGCCTTTGTTTTTTGTGGCGCGTATTCTCCAGGGGCAATCACGTTCCTTCTTCCTCTTGCACTCTGCAACCCATTTGTGTTTATCGGACTCCAGCACCTGATAAAATTGGTTCCTTTTAATAGAATACAAGCTCACCATATTGATGACTTGTTCTTTGTTGTCAAACTGTTGACCAACCTCAAACTCACCTTCGGGTCTAAATCTTTTCATACCTGCTCCACTCATACACACATCGGTAAAGCCTTCAGGGAGATCATATATTCTAGTAAAGTGGTTAGATGCCGTGATAGTATCACAATCATCTTCATCGGATTCTGTCATGTCATCACCGTTGATGTTATCGTCAGCATCATCATCACTTCCTTGCCCATCCACAAATGATGAACCATTGTGCACATACCTACCCTCTTCCTCTATAACCATGTCCAGTATAGCAGTATTTGAGGAGTTCCCTGCATTCAGGGCCGGTCCTGAGGAAATGAGGGCCCTGTGCAACAAAAATAATTAGGTCTTCTTTTTAAAGTTTCAACACAAGTTAAAAAAACCGAACCGAAACCACACCAACTCAAACGGGACTCGAAAGTCGGGACTCGAACATAAATCGGTTTAATGAAGGTTTTTTGAGTTATAAAATTGGTTCAAACCGAACCGAACCGATTTTTATTAAGAGATATTTTTAATTATTTATTTTGTAGAACAAATAGGTAATATAAAGCTTGTACGTCCCTATTTCAACAATTAGTTGATTCGTTCCAGTGGGTTGATGTTTAGAGATCAGCGTGCATGATTTTATTTTCACCTGAGTTCGAATCCCGCATGCCTCAATTCTTATCTTTTTAGTTTCTAAGGCTTAAGATTCCCACACCGATGGAAATGGAGGATTTACTACTCTTTCGTTCCTATATATACGCTCCACCTCAAAGTAATACTAGTATATTACTACAAAAAAATTGGGCCCTTCCAATTTTTTGGGCCCTGTGCGGTTGGACACCCTGCACACCACCAGGGCCGGCCCTGCCTGCATTGACACCATGCCTAGGTACAATAACATTTGATGTTGAAGGAGTAGCAGAATAATCATATATGGATTCCTCAATGTATATCTCCAACGTGGACATACTCTCCATCCTAATTTACACCACTCAAATTTCCTATATTCTAAACTCTAAAATGAAAAATGAGATAAATTGGAGATATTTATTTACCTAGAATGTTGAAGAAGATGAAAGTGAAGTAGTATTGACAAAATAGGGAGACTTCACTGTCGCTCGCCGGAGATTAACCTTCGCCGGAGTCGGGGCAGTGATTCGTTACCGCACTTCGCTCATATCTGCAGAGGGTTTGGGAATTGGGGTTCTGCTGCGTTCTGTCTGAAACGGCAAACCCGACTTTTAGTTTAAGGGGTAAGTCGTCAAACGGTTGGGTGACTTATAAGTCGCCAAACCGGATGGCAACTTATAAGTCATCCAACCGTTTGACGACTTACCCCGACCATGATTAATCCCATCAGTATATCATTAAATACTTTTAACACAATATTATTTTCGTAATTAATTAATTAATTAGCATTAATTCTAAAAAAACTATTTCTAAACTTTCTGGGGAAACATTAAAAACTTGCGAGGAATAGAGATTACGAATGCCAACCCACAAAAACAAATGAAATGAAAGCTAAGAGATGAGAGGCGACCGTTCCAGTTCTTGTTCATGAGCATTCCGTCGAGCAAGGTGGAGGAATTATTATTAATTCAATGAGGAAATTTACTTGGCGGCGGATTCTCAACACGTTGGCGCTGGTAGCGGCGGCGATTTTGGTTTCCGCGGAAGCGATGCGGTTTGATCTGCAGTCCGGAAACTCCAAGTGCATCGCGGATGACATTACCCAAAACGCCATGACCGTCGGCAAGTACTCCGTCGTCAACCCCATTGAGGGTTACCCCCTGCCGGACTCCCACAAGGCCACCGTCCGGGTCCGTCCCAGTTATTTATTGTCCGACTCCTAATATTTTCTAATAGATTTGCGTATATATATGCTCCTTCCCTCCCACAATAATTGTGCTTTTTTTGTACTAATCTCCCAAATTTGCCCATATTAACTCTTCTCCTGTCACATTAAATGCTCTGTGCTTTGAAAAATAGTGCTGTTCAACTTAAATAAGAATAAAACATCAATTATCAATTTTTTGGGACATAGTGAGTGAAGGACTATATATATATGTGTGTGTGCGCGCGCACTTAAACTAAAATGTTGAAATATATTGTTAGATAATCTGACCTCTTCAATACAATTTTTTAATTTAGTCCCCCAATATACTTTCTCTCTCTGCCATTGCTCACAAAGCTTAATATGTAGGTTGTCTGCAAACTAAAAATGGCAATCCTAGATTGTAGTTGCTAGAAATCTATAAATGTTGTTTTACTGGAGTACTAGTTACTCGAGTAATAAATAGGCTAATGTTGATGAAACTTAAGTGTTAGACTAAATTACAGTAAACGGGGATGATGCAGGTAACTTCTCCCTATGGACATCACTATCACTATGTAGAACATGTAGAGTCTGGTAATTTTGCATTTACTGCAGCAGAGTCGGGCGACTATATGGTTTGTTTCTGGGCACCCGATCACAAGCCACCCTTCACACTGTCAATTGAGTTTGATTGGAAGACTGGGTTTGCTGCCAAGGATTGGTCCAAAGTTGCCAAGAAAGACCAGATTGAAGTGAGCATTTCTATATTATTTTCCTCTTTCCAATTTCCTGTTTAGCCTGCATATGCTGTTTCTTGTGATGATTTGATTGATGGTGAGAAAGTTCATCAAACACATTATTAATATAATAAAATGAAAAGGGAAGGGGGTTAGGAACTAATTGATCCATTTGTTCATAATTGAGTGAAATTTCTTGGTTTTCATATTTACGAGCCTACCGTGCAAATTTCGTAAGAAGCTAGTTCAAATGTTAGGCCATTTTTTTTAGTTTGGACTAGCAGGGCCAGATCTACACCGGGCATTGGTGGGTTGAAGCCCAAATCAACTTACTTTTTACCTAAGATTTTTAGCGTAACTTTCGTTTTTCACATTTAGCCCATATGTGTTGTATGCTCGCTAATGCAGCACATGAAGCTCCTAAGGGTCTGTCGGTGTTCCACACAATGCCAGATTGGGTCAAGTGAATTCTTTGGAGGATGCTAATAGGCTTGAGATACTTAAATTTTAATTATTCTTATTTTATGTTCTGGTGTTTTTAAAAGTATCTCCCTCTATTGCTTTAAACCTCTTATAATCACTCTTTAGACCAATTCAATCCAAATTTCTCGATACAACGAAAAATAACAATATTACCCTAGTGCCACAAAGGCTCCCTATGATGGGGTAAGGGGAGTCGGATGTACCCGATCTTACTCCTGTACTAAAGCACAGGGAGACGGTTTTTGGATGACCAATGATGAAAATCACATCGAAAATGGATTGATTGTTGCTTCATAACAAAGAAACGCAGACAATTTAGTGAGCCATTGCACACAATTTATATCTGGATTGAGTGAACTAGTGATTAATCACCCACATAGCGATTGAGTCTAAAACTTATCATCTTTTCTGATCTTCATTTGCTGTAGGAGATGGAACTTGAGCTTATGAAATTGTTGGACACAGTCTCATCCATTCATGATGAGATGTTCTATCTTCGTGAAAGGTAAAATTTATGTTCTACTTGCAATGTATGTCTATTCTTTCAGATTCTGATTTTCACTGAAAATATATGTTGCTGGAAAATAATGATTTTCCTGAGTTCGGCACTGGAAAATATTTTCCCAAGGCTTGATTCTTTGGGGTAAATGTTTTCCTGTTTTGAATAGGGATAGCCATTTTCCTGTTGTATTGCTATTTTGTGGGTTGAAAGAGAGCTTTGGCGGCCTCCTAACTGGAGAAGGCTTGCCCCTCATATACACCCTTACACCCTTGTGGTGGTACCCTTTTCCGGATCCTCATCTTGCGGGATGCTTCATACACCGGGCTGCCCTTATTCTTATTTTTGTGCTCAAACATTATGTTATAATAATAATTAATAATATAGAACTACTTATGTTCCCAAACCAAGTTGTTTTACGGGAAACAGATGGAGGAGCCTTAATGAATGAATATGTGATGTCGTGTAGGGAGGAAGAAATGCAAGAACTGAACATTGCAACCAATGGGAAAATGGCCACTTTCAGTTTTCTGTCCCTCTTCGTTTGCCTGTCTGTGGCTGGTTTGCAGCTTTTGCATTTGAAGTCATTCTTTGAGAGAAAAAAACTCATATAAACTCTTTTCTCTCTCCCTCTCTCTCTCTGGGTAGTAAGCCTGCAGATTTCCAGTATTCATTACACAGGAACCAGCTTTAATTTAGGTAGGGTATGTAGATGACAAAACCAACTTCATAACATCCCCTTTTTTATCGACCTGATATTAGAGGATATTTGACAAATTTAATTTTTTTGATTAAAAACGGTGGAACTACGATAGTATATGATAGCTGTAGCAATTCTTTAAGTAATCTCTTCTTTGTATTTCTAACTGCAAGACCATTTGCAATTCAATTCTTTTTTATTACTATTAGTGTACAAAATAACTTTAAATACTCCGTAATATTTACTTTCAGTGGCAGACTCATTGGGTTGTGACTTGTGAGAGCGGCACACACATAAACTAAACTTACTTTATAATAACATTTCCAAATGTATAAATAACGGTAAAAATGAGGTTATTAGCATAAATTATACGGAGTAGTTACATACTACGGTAAATCAAGTACTTTCTTCATTCTTAAATAAATTCAACGGTCAACATTTTACACTTGCCGAGTCACAACTTTGATCATTAATATAAATGATTTTGTATTAGTAAAAAAATTAAAAAAATTAGATTATGAAAATTTACAATGAGACAAGTTTAACAATATTTTTTTCATAAAATAATATTATTACATTAATAAATAAAATGTAGTCAAAGTAGAACATGTGAATAGTGTAACAGTCAAAGTGTTGCATTTATTTAAGAACGGAGGTAGTATATAAGCTTTCATATTTTGAAAATGTTGCGTTATAGTTTCATTATCAATGCTTCATTATCATTATCAATATCAATTCATCTTGATGTAGCACACTAAACAATCCGTTAAAAAAAGTCATCTTCCATCTTATTGCGAAGATCTATATTGATAATAGTTATCACGAAGAAGATTATTTTAATGGTGGTTGTTGCAACTGGTAATACTAAAATGAACTCAATCAGATGATAGACCAAGTGGAAAGAATGTGAACTCTAAGCTCAACCATCTTTCTTTAAAATTCACCAATATTTTGTGCGACACAAAATGATTCATTTGTTCTCATTTCATACTACACTTGGAGTCGCTCTTTCAACCCCTTTCGATCAACAGATGAAAAATCACGTGAATATAACTTTGTGAGGTTCAATGACTTTGACTTAGGGGTGGGTTTGGGCCGGGTCGGGCCCGGGCCGGGCCTAGGCACGGTCGGGCCTCCGGTTCGTATCACATGGGCCCGGGACCGGCCCGAGGGTTGGACGGGTCCGGTTCGGGCCGGGCCACCCGCCCGGGTCACGGGTCGGGCCACCCGCCGGGCCGGGCCGGGTCGGTTAAGTTTTTTTTTTTTAATTTATATTTTATACTTTATAGTTTTATACAAGTATTAAAAAACAAACTTCAAGTGCATTTATTTGAAATGAAATAGGAACTACATTTGAAAATTAAATAGGAACTATAATTGTTTTTAAAACATGAAATACTAATCAATCATTCAATATTTCAATCGGAATCTCCGGCATAGGTAGAGCCACCCTCAGTTGTAGATTCATACATAAAGTGTTGGGATGGGGTGATGTCAATTTCTTGAGCTCTACGGGCTGCTTTCAACCAATCGTGGTAGCATATAAGCATCTCAAGAGATTCAGCGCTCAACCTCGTTCTGGTTTGTGTTAGGACATTGCCGGCCGAACTAAATTCTTGTTCCACGGCAACTGTTGAAACCGGCATTGATAGCACTTGCTTAGCCATCTTTGCTAAAACCGGGAACATTCTTTCTTTTTCCTTCCACCAGTTTAGTACGTCAAAATCATCATCTTCTTCAAAATCAACATCATAAGTTAAATACAAAGAAATCTCATTAATTGTGCTTTGTTGTGTAGCGGGAGTTGATTTCGTTTTTTTAATAAGATTGGCAAACGTAGATTTGAAAATTGATTTTCCTTTAGATGATGTTTGTGTCGAGGGAGGGGGCGCATTGCTATATTGTGCATAAAACTCATTGAATAATGCATAAAATATATCACTAACCTCGTTGTATTCCTTTTTCGGATCAATTGGGTTGTCCTCATACATTGGCAATGGACCAAAAAAGCAGCATAATAATAATTCAAACATTCTTCTAAAGAACCAAGTCTAAAACGAGGATCGAGAACAAATGCAATACCATAAATATGCGGAATATGTGAATAATATTTTAAAAACTTTTCCTTCATAAAACTAGCAAAATAACTCACATAATCAGCATTCTCAAAATTTGAAAAAGCACCGGCGAGATTAACAGTTTCACGAATAAATTGGTTTGAGGTAGGTTTATAAACATGACTAAAAGTTTCAGTTGCATTATTAAAATATATCAAAGCATTACAAATTTTTTCACAGGTGTCGATCTCAGCCGAGTTTATAATATAGTTATCATATTGTTTCATAAAAGCAGGAAAATGTTGTTTATATCTAAGAAGAACTCCAATTAACTTATAGGTACTATTCCAACGAATAGACAAATCTTTAGGAAAAGCCACATATCTCTCACCTCTTTCTATCAAATAATCATGTCATTTTTTCCTAAGTTGTCCATTACCCCAAATACGTCTAATCCTCCCCTTGACTACCTCCAACGATGCTCCCAACGCTTTTAGACCATCTTGCACACATAAATTTAGAACATGACATGCACATCGTTGATGAAAAAATCTATCCATCAAAGAAGTAGAACCACACAATTCACGCAATCTAGGAATAGCAGCAGTATTATTAGTAGCATTATCAAAACCAATAGCAAACGCCTTATCAATTAACTATTTATCTAACTATTAATTCGAGTAATAGCAAATTAACTAGTGAATTAACTAGTTTTGTGTACAACATAATTTTTTACTAACAATGAAATTAATACACTTTAACTTTAACTATAATTAGAATTACAACTAGTTTTTTAAACTAGAGTCAAATGTAGCAACTAGCAATTAATAAAAAATTGTAATAAAGTAATTAACTAATAATCTAACTATTAATTCGAGTTATAGCAAATTGTACAACCTAATTAACTAGTTTTTTTTTCAAGTAACGTTAATACAAAATTAAACAAGTGTAAATAATAGAATAATTTCGTACCTCTTTCGCACTTTCGGTCTTTCGGATGGGAGTAATAGAATGACTTCAAATTAATTAGATATAATTCCAACTATATTAATAGATATAATAAATATATAAGTAATATGTAATTAGATAACAAATATAAGTAATATAATACTATTTATATCTATTTATAGTTTATATAAGTAGATAATTAATATAAACTATAAATAATAAATATAATATATTGGAGAATGGAGAATAAGAGAATTAGAGAGTAGAGAGTTAAGAATAGGATTTAGGAAGAATTGGAGAAGAGATATGAAAAAATGTTTAAGATTAGGAGTATTTATAGGTTTTTTTACCCCCCACTCCCCACACCACCCCCACCACCCAACCCCCCGGACCCCCCTGCACCCCACCCAACGGCTATATAGCCGTTTGGGTTGTCCCCAACCCACCCATAACGGCTAGTAAGTATTTAACAATTTTTTATTTAAAAAAATAGGACCGTTGGACCCGGACCCGGGCCAGGTCACATTTTTCCGGAACCGTGCCCACCCCGCCCATTCCCATCGGTTCGGGTCTACACCCGGTCCCGGACCGCCTGACCGGGCCGGTCCCGGGCCCGCACAGTACCGGGCCGGGCCGGGTGGCTCGAACCGAATCCACCCCTACTTTGACTCACAGAAAGTGAAGAATTTGTCTTTATGATCAAAACATGTTAAACAAGTGAGTAGTTCGATGTTTGACTTACTAAACAGATTCTCCATATGGAGTGGTTGAGTGGGACAGTAGGGCAGCGCTGAATGAGTGACTAGGAAATGCAATGTGGCATTAATTACGTTTTATTATTAAATTGTAATATAAAATTAATAAATGTTATACTCCGGACTAAATAGGGGGAATAGTTAATGTGATGAACCACTTTTTTGGAGAAACTAAATTGAGTCATATTTAAAAAATTGAGAACATTAGTAATATATATGCTATTTTCACTAATAATTTATAATTTAATATATTAATGTTGTTATCTATTTTTTTTATGGATAATGCTTGTATTGATGTGTAGGGGAATTGGGTCCAGGCCCATATAGCCCTAGGCGGTTCAACTAGCACGCATGGTCAATTCCATAACACCCAAGCCAGGAGCTCGATCGGGATGCCTCGTTCGGGATCTGTCGATCAGGATCATCCCGCTACTTGATGTTTTCTCTACGAGTTTTTGCCACTTTTAGTCCTTCGACTATTATGTCATTTACACTTTTGGTACTCGACTTTGATTTTTTTCACTTTTAGTCCTTGATTATCTTGCTAGAGACATTTTTGGTACATGTCTTTGAAAATTTCCATATTTAGTCCTCCTACTTTCATAAAAGTGGTACTTTTGGTCCTTCAACTATTATAATAATGACACTTTAGTCCTCCATTTATTGTATCAAAATCATAGTGGAAGGATTAAAAGTGTCAATTTGATAATACTCAGAGAACTAAATGTGGGAAACTTTGAAGTCAAGGACTAAAAATGTCTCTAGCACAATAGTCGAGGACTAGAATTGGAAAAAATAAAAGTCGAGTACCAAAAGTGTCAATGACACAATAGTCGGGGACCAAAAATGGAAAAAACTCTTTTCTCTACTATCATTGACTGCATAATGGAGAGCTCCCCAAAACAATGGATTGAGATCCTCTGCCATAAGGCAGAGTACCTTACTAAAATAGAAGACAGGGATTAAAATTCAGCCCTAGAGATTTGTGCCAAGAATGGACCCACTCATTTTACTCCATTGATTTTTTGATCTGATGGTTCAAATTGCGAGACACCCTCCTTGCCTGCCTAAGCAAGGTAGAGGAACTGGATCCCAAAACAATTGGTGGGAAAACTAGAATTAGCGGGGAAGCGCACTTAATGCATTAATATGGGGGATTTTATGCTTAGGGGTTATACATTGAGGGCTTGACACATCATCCCCGACACCTACTACCGTGTAGTATAAACACTCACATTTTTTCCATTGTAAGGGGTGACAAACTTGCTAACTATAGTTTGAACTTCTCTCCAGTTCTGATGTAATCTTTCGTGTATAATAGAGTGTCGGAGCTCAAGCTCGGCAAGGGTGCGTAGTGCACTGTAATCGTTCTAAGTTCATCCATAATAGAACTTAGTCCACTTTACTTCTAATCCATCTTTCTATTGTTTTTGCCTTCATATTACCTTAA